TTAAGGGGATGCTGGAGTGATTCTGCACTTTTGCACCTTTCTAACCTAAAAACTGTCAGTTCGCGGAAACATTTGTGTAATATACAAATTAAATGGCTTACGTGTACAGATCGAAAGCAGCTTGCTATTCCGGCCAAATGAAAGAACAATATGGCATCACTGAAACTAAGTTTGTAAGTCTAATAAAAAATAATAGTGAGCAACACACATACTACATGTACTGTATGTATGTGTTGCTCACTATTATTTTTTATTAGACTTACAAACTTAGTTTCAGCGATGTCATATTGTTCTTTAATTTAACCGGAATAGCAAGCTGCTTTCGATCATCTGTACACATGCCATTTAATTTGTGTATTACACAAATCTTTCCACGAAACAGACAGTTTTAAGTGCAAAAGGTGCGAAAGTGCAGAATCACTCCAGCATCCCCTTAAGTTAATAAAATTCGCACGGAGAGGCGACATCGCTTTTCAGAGCGGGGCGCTGAGACATATCAGTCCGTTCTTGTGGCGAATGCGTGCGAGCGGGAGAGTCAGGAGGAAAGAGAAGGTGAAATTCGATCTAAGTAGCTCACCGTTGTTGCGCCTTGCGCTCTATTCTCTTATTTTACCGCCATTACGGCTATTAACATCATACTTAATTGCTAGACCGCAAATGCGAATTGCTGGTATTCCGTTCCGTACGCGGACGCGGCCTTCTTATTGTTTTTCACGTGTGGCCGCGGCGCGTAACATCGATGGCTCGACGATAGATTAAAAAAATGGACAATTGGCGAAGAGAAATGGAGTCATGCAGAAAATTGACGTGCGCTCTGTTAAAATGAAATGTCAGGCCGCACTCGCGCGTGTTCATGGATAATGAGATTTCTCGCGGTTTCAAAATTATTCGCTTCCTGGCGTCTCTTTTTTTGTACGGCCGTTCTTTGCGGAATTTTTCCCATGTGCGGCTCATGAAGGTCGATTTATTCATTATCCAGCTTGAAAACCGCACGGAGTTTTACGAGAAAGCGAAAACGCTCGCGGAGCGGAAAAGGGATAGGGCAAAACAGTTCCACCGACTCGTTCGTGCTCTCCATAATCGCGCTCAAACACGTGGCCAGGAATGAGGAATAATGCGAGTTGCGAGGATCACAGCCAGTTGCGTACCCAGGAAGTTGTAAGCCCGCCGTTGAAATATCGAGACCCGTTCGAAACGCCTTTGAACGTTAAAAGATCGACTCGAAGAAACAGGAAGGTTGCACTTTAACATATCGTATCGCTGTTACAAATTCTAGTTTACGTGAGATATAAAAATGTTCGACTTGACAGAAAAACAAAATTTCTTTATCAGAACGAAAAAGGGTAAATCGATAACTTCGCCTCTCCGTTTATCTAAATTATTTCAGATTGCGAAGAGAGCAAATAACACGATAATTAGTACGAACTTGGCTGTGCGCTTTGATAAAAGAACGCACTGTAGGAAGGAAATTAAGTAATCTCTGCATAATTTCTACATATCGCTTATATGCTAACGTATCTCTGACAAACATGAGAGAACATAATAGGGGAATTAAAGGAGAATGCAATTGAAAACAGCGACACGCGTTATTCTCATATTGCAAAATACGTCGCCGATTGTTTTCATCCTCGGAAACATTAGTATGAGAAGAGATGTAGGATGACGCTGTAATGTTACAGCACTGTGAGGGATGAGGATGTGGGGTGTGGGGAGTGCACGGGGCCCTGGAATGGGAAACAGAAGTGGGAGTGAGAGTGGGAGTGAGGAATCGGTTGGGAGAGGCCATAGGAAAACCGGTTGCCAATCTGCACGGACGCGTTGGACAGAACGCCGGGGAGATCGTCGACAAAAGGCCAAAAAGGCCGAGCTCCGGTTTCCAGTAAAGTGGCCAGACTTTTCCTGTCTCGCAGATCCTCAGATCAGTCCGCGTTTATCGACGAAGTCGGCCGGAAAGTGTTCAAACGCTCTTCACACATTTTTTTTAAATCTGAATTGCGTATGCAAAAAAATAGAGAAAAAAAACCGGTTGATTGATGTAAACAGAAGCTTGCAACGATATAAATCAAGGTGGACGTCATCTTGTCAAATAATGTCATATTGTTTTGATATCTAACGTTGTATTTAGACAATAAGTAATTGTCTTGTTTAAAAAAACTTTAATTGCGATTTATAGATCCTGTGTTATGTACGGGGATAAGCAGCAGGAAATTAATAAAATAAATGTCTGAATAGATAAGGCGTGGAGCGATTGCTCGCGAAGGGGATGCGCGAGCGTGACTCGATCTATTAAAATGTCATTAATCAAGCAAAGAACTCAAAGTCCCGAGATGG